TGTTGATCTTCATGAAGTTTTTCTATCCATTAGATCTCTACGATTCGTATTTTTAATCGTGGTTTCAGTATGATACTCGTTACAAGACTTAACGGTGATTGACACTAAAACTAGAAAGGTCAGATGACCCTTTTACAAGTTTTTCATTTTCACTTTCAAAATGTATTACGATTCTCTAAAATCTCTGTTGATCTTCATGAAGTTTTTCTATCCATTAGATCTCTACGATTCGTATTTTTAATCGTGGTTTCAGTATGATACTCGTTACAAGACTTAACGGTGATTGACACTAAAACTAGAAAGGTCAGATGATTCTTTTACAAGTTTTTCATTTTCACTTTCAAAATTTATTAAGATTCTTTAGAATGTTAATCTTCATGAAGTTGAAGAATATGTATATTAATTTATGTTTTATGATAAAACTTAGGGTAACAGTTTATAGTACTCATCAGGTGTCTTTAAAGATATTATCTGCAGGATGAGAGTGCTGCAAAAAGGATGAGAGAATAATAAAATTGAATTTATTTCCAACAATTTGTTTGATTTAATTTCGTAGGCCCAGCATGTCGCAGGGTACGGTGATGATTCAAGCGCAAAATCGGCTAGAAAAAGATTTCACTATCGCAACACCGGAAGAATTCGTTCATCGTTTTGGAGGCACTAAAGTTATTAACAAGGTAAGACACATTTCACAACAATCGCTAAAAATTTGTCAATTTACCATCAAATTTCCTGTTTCAATCTCCTCAACAGTTTTATCAATTTTTAAAATGTAAAAATTTGCAGTTTTCAAATTTCTACATTTAACAAATTTTGCATTTTCTAATTAATTTTTTCTAAATGGTTATATCGAACTCATATTGCCTCCACGGTAGTCGATGCTTCAATGTATTATAAACACTTTCGTAATCAATTCAAAATTGAAAATAACATTCTCATTGGTTGAGACTCAAACGTACGGTTTACGTAGTTCTGACGTAAAGAAAGAGACCAGTATCGTGGATAAGAAAAACAATATCTTCGAGACATTACGCACGGAATTTAAATATCTGGTTTTCCGGGATTTTTTCGACGTGTTACTTCTTTGCAGATTATAATTTCTTATCTCTTTTTTTAATGCACTGACCACTATACTTGCAACTTGGAAGTTTTTAAATAAGAAAATTGAGGATTTGAAAATTTAGGAATTCGAAATACATTTGGGGAGCTGGAAATTTATTTAGAAATTGCAAGCTGCAGTTGAAGATTTGAAAATTCAAAAATTTAGAAAACTGGAGATTTTTATAAACTTACAAATTGGTAAATTTTCAACTTTCCGTAATCCTCGCACCACGCAGGAAGAGTCCATATTTTGGAGAATTAAACCTAATGGTCCCTATCTAGTTACACGAATGGACACAGAAATTCCGTGTAATGTTTCTATAAACGCAGCCACGTGTTTCTGGCGCTTATATTGAACGTTAGAAGCGAAACAGGTATTTGAGAAATGGAAGAAGGTCGTTCAACGCGTCTACGATTCGCGTTCCGCTCGAGTATGTCACGAGCCAGTCACCGTACAATTTCGCAACGATATCAGCGAACAGCCTCCATAGCTGACATTGAACGTCCTTGGCTGACCTTGAATATATCGCTGTACCTGTTTTATCCTCTTCTACTGCAATACGCGTTTGTCGTGAAAAGTTTACACACGAATTATATATTACATTATTTACCAAAAATGTTGTAATATAATACATTGCTAATACAACATGTTTTGAAATACAAGAATTAATAACTGAATTTTTAGTGTCTTACAATAAATGTTCATCTTAGCGTGTTTTTAACAATTTATGCCCTGAAGAATATATCTTTTTTAAATTAAAAAATCACAGTTTTTGTCCAAAAAGTTCTAACTTCGATAAAAAGAAAATCATGGTACAACAGATGAAGTTAAGAAAGCTATTAACCTGTTGTTCATGTGTGAAAAATTTGAGAAAGCTGTTAACCGTGTTCACTAATTAACTCTACTATCTGAGAAGTATATTTAACGTTCGTAATGTAATTATAACGCAAGGAATTAAGTTATTAAACAATGAAAATCTTTTACAGGTGTTGATCGCTAACAACGGTATAGCAGCGGTAAAATGCATGCGTTCGATTCGGCGATGGTCCTACGAGATGTTCAAAAACGAAAGGGCTGTACGATTTGTCGTGATGGTCACACCGGAAGATTTGAAAGCAAACGCGGAATATATAAAAATGGCGGACCAATATGTGCCAGTACCGGGTGGAACAAACAACAACAATTACGCGAACGTAGAATTGATCATAGACATCGCTATACGTACCCAGGTGCAGGCGGTCTGGGCGGGATGGGGTCACGCTTCAGAAAATCCAAAATTACCGGAATTACTTCACAAAAATAACATTTCTTTCATCGGTGAGACACTGAAAAATAATAGAACATAAAGAAAACTTAAAATATTGCAAATAGAAAAATTAATTTTTAGAAAATTTATTATTAAAATAGTAACTGGTGTGGAAATAGGTGGTTGAGCTCGTAATAGGAATTATTGTGTAATGTGGCATCCTTGATATTTTATACAGGGTGTCTCCTCGTTTCGGTCTCCATTTCTGGGACCTACACTGGTTGTGAGACACCCTGTATATTTAACAACGTAGAAAATGAGATGAATAAAGATGTCATATCATGTGTGATAGAAATTTTCTTATCTATAGGAAATGTTACTCAATGCTTGATATAAAGACTCGTGCGAAGAAAAATAGCAAAATTACATCATCAGATATTGTTTATTTGAACAAGAATTCAATTATAAGTGGGATATTATTGTCAACATCACTTACTTATCTTTCAACGTGTATACAGAATTCTATTTACGCTATTAAATCTAATTCTGATTTTACATAATCGTATAATACTAATCTTAATTCTAGGCCTATTTATCCTGATAATCCTAATTTTAACTTCTACTTCCGATTGCTTTTGTAGGACCATCTGAGAGAGCAATGTGGGCTCTTGGAGACAAAATTGCATCCAGTATAGTTGCTCAAACCGCAGAGGTGCCAACACTCCCTTGGTCAGGATCAGATTTAAAAGCCCAGTACAGTGGGAAGAAAATAAAAATCTCCTCGGAACTTTTTAAAAAGGGTTGTGTCTCAACCGTGGAAGAATGTTTGGCTGCAGCCAATAAAATAGGTTTTCCTGTGATGGTGAAAGCTAGTGAAGGGGGTGGCGGTAAAGGTATTAGGAAAGTCGAAAATGCTGAAGAATTGCCTACGTTGTTTAGGTAAGAATGAACTCATTGTTTTACAAATAAAATAAATTTGTAATGTACGTTAATTACAAAAGTTCGAAACATTACGAGTCTTTTATTTAAAGCTTTAAATAATTCTATCAGGCAGGTACAAACTGAAATACCTGGATCACCAATATTCATTATGAAACTGGCAAAATGTGCCCGCCATTTGGAAGTTCAATTATTAGCTGATAATTATGGAAATGCCATATCGTTGTTTGGTCGTGATTGCTCTATTCAAAGGAGACATCAAAAGATCATCGAGGAAGCTCCTGCTGTGATTGCGAAACCTGAAGTTTTTGAAGAGATGGAAAAAGTAATTACAAGTCATATTAGTTATTTTGCTCACGTATGAGGCTCTGGATTATATAGCGTTTAAAATACTTTTAAAAGTTAAATTAATTTGAAGTATCAACTAATTGTTATTGTAATTGAAATGCTATTTAAAATATTTCTTTGATGTTACCCTTAGTTACCCATATTTATATATCTTAAAATGTGTATTGTTTATAAAACTGTCATGCTTTATTTGGAACTATCGTACGAGGTAGATCTTCAGTTACTACTGTATTCAGACAAAGCTATCTCGATAATTTTGACTTAAAATGATAACTCGTTCTGTAAAACAGTTCTTATATGTTCTTTTGTGATAGGCTGCTGTAAGATTGGCCAAAATGGTTGGGTATGTCAGCGCAGGTACTGTCGAGTATCTCTATGACACTTCTGGACGGTACTACTTTTTGGAGTTAAATCCACGTCTTCAAGTAGAACATCCTTGTACCGAGATGGTATCCGATGTCAATCTACCTGCTGCTCAACTTCAAATTGCCATGGGTTTACCACTCCACCATATTAAAGACATTCGTCTTTTGTACGGTGAAAGTCCATGGGGTGATACTGTCATCGATTTCGATCAACCGCGACATAAGCCCCAACCGTGGGGTCACGTTATAGCCGCAAGAATTACTAGTGAAAATCCTGACGAAGGTAAAACATTCACCGTGTTAATTTTTTGATTGGTTGCATAATAAAATTCTATCTTAATAAATCTGTTATCGTGTATTTTAGGTTTTAAGCCAAGCTCTGGAACCGTACAAGAATTAAACTTCCGTTCCTCGAAGAATGTCTGGGGTTATTTCTCAGTGGCGGCATCCGGAGGTCTTCACGAGTTTGCTGATTCACAATTTGGGCATTGTTTCTCTTGGGGCGAGGATCGTTATCAAGCTAGAGAGAATTTGGTCATAGCTCTGAAAGAGTTAAGCATCAGAGGTGACTTTAGAACAACCGTCGAGTATCTGATCACGTTGTTGGAGACTGATTCCTTCCAGCAGAACAACATAGATACAGCATGGCTTGATTTATTGATCGCTGAACGTGTCAAAAGCGATAAACCGGATGTATTGCTGGCCGTAACCTGCGGTGCGCTTCATATCGCCGATAGAACGATCACTGCCGCTTTTACTGGGTTCCAAACTGCGTTGGAGAAGGGACAGATACAAGCTAGCAACGATTTAGACAATGTTGTTGATGTAAGTTCGTTCGTGTATTCTAATATAATTTAAATCTTTTCCTCTTCTTAATTTTCACTTTGTATACTTTTAAGCCGCTTTATTATCTATACAAAATTTTAGTAATCATTGTATTTCAGGTTGAACTGATCAACGATGGATATAAATATAAATTACAAGCTGCCAAGTCAGGTCCTAATAATTACTTCCTTATCATGAACGGTTCCTATAGAGAAGTTGATGTACATCAACTATCAGACGGTGGATTGCTACTTTCTTTAGATGGTGCAAGTTTCACCACCTATATGAGAGAAGAGGTTGATCGTTATAGAATTATCATAGGAAATCAGACTTGCATTTTTGAAAAAGACAATGATCCCTCTCTGTTAAGATCACCGTCAGCTGGTAAATTGATCAACTTTTTAGTCGAAGACGGTGGTCATGTTAACCCTGGACAAGCTTACGCGGAAATAGAGGTTATGAAAATGGTAATGACGGTAACAGCGAGCGAAGCTGGTAGCGTTTTCTACGTCAAAAGACCAGGTGCCATTTTAGAGGCTGGTACTCTCATCGCTCATTTAGAATTAGATGATCCGTCTTTGGTAACGAAAGCTCAAGACTATACCGGTAAATTCCCAGAAACCGCACCTCCTGCTGTTTCCGAGAAATTGAATCATCTTCACGCCAAATATAGAAACGCTTTGGAGAACACCCTAGCAGGATATTGTTTACCAGACCCGTACCATCTGCCGCGGGTACGAGAATTGATCGAGAAATTCATGAGTTCCTTACGCGATCCTAGTCTACCTTTGCTTGAACTTCAAGAAGTGATCGCTACGATATCCGGAAGAATTCCGATTTCCGTGGAAAAAAAGATCAGAAAACTGATGTCGTTGTACGAAAGAAATATAACTTCCGTTCTGGCTCAGTTTCCTAGCCAACAAATTGCCGCTGTAATCGATGGACATGCGGCGACTGTTTCGAAGCGATCCGAACGGGACGTATTCTTCCTAACCACACAAGCCATAGTGCAATTAGTACAAAGATATAGAAATGGAATACGCGGAAGAATGAAGACTGCCGTACACGAACTTCTCAGACAATATTATACCGTCGAGAGTCAATTCCAACAGGGTCATTACGATAAGTGTGTCTCTGCTTTAATAGATCAGCACAAAGATGACGTGGCCACGGTAACAGCCATGCTCTTCAGTCATAATCAAGTCACCAAGAAAAACATTGTGGTAACCATGCTCATAGATCACCTTTGGGCGAACGAACCTGGTCTCACGGATGAACTATCGAGCACATTGACGGAACTGACCAGTTTAAATCGAACAGAACACAGTCGCGTTGCTTTACGTGCCAGACAAGTTTTAATCGCTGCCCATCAACCTGCCTACGAATTGAGGCACAATCAAATGGAGTCGATATTCTTGTCAGCGGTGGATATGTACGGCCACGACTTCCATCCGGAAAACCTGCAGAAGTTGATTCTCTCCGAGACATCCATCTTCGATATTTTGCACGATTTCTTTTACCATACCAACCGCGCGGTTTGCAACGCCGCTTTGGAAGTTTATGTGCGAAGAGCGTACATCAGCTACGAGTTGACTTGCCTGCAACACCTGGAATTATCGGGTGAAGTGCCGTTGGTACACTTCCAGTTCCTGCTGCCTAATAATCATCCAAATCGACAGAATCAGTCACCGGTTAATCACAGAGTTGGCGCTATGGCGGCCTTCCAAGACATGGAACAATTCGTCAGGTATTCTGACGAGATACTCGATCTCCTGGAGGATCTATCCTCGACTACTTCTGTTTCGGCTAAAGTTCTGGAAGCGGTGGACGCAGCTGGAAGCGAGTCGAGACATAGTACTTCCATAAACGTGTCTCTCAGCATCGCCGATCCTCCTCCAGTACCGGCGGTAGAAATTGGCGAAAGACCTTCAGAACCTGTGCACATCTTGAGCATTGCCGTCCAAGAGAAAAACAATCACGACGACGCTGCCCTGGCAAGGTTGTTCGGAGATTGGTGCGCTACGAATAAAGATGAACTGATATCCCGTGGTATCAGAAGAGTAACGTTCGCTGCTCTGAAGAGAAGACAAGTACCAAAGTTCTTCACGTTCCGTCAGAGAGACGGCTTCGTCGAAGATAAAATTTACCGACATCTGGAACCCGCTTGTGCCTTCCAACTGGAATTGAACAGAATGAGGACGTACGATCTAGAAGCGTTACCAACCTCAAACCAGAAGATGCACCTGTACCTTGGCCAGGCTAAAGTTGCTAAAGGACAGCAAGTCACGGATTACCGATTCTTCATCCGTTCTATTATAAGACACTCCGATCTAATAACCAAAGAAGCCAGCTTCGATTACCTGCACAACGAGGGTGAACGTGTCCTTTTGGAGGCTATGGACGAATTGGAAGTCGCGTTCTCGCATCCGCTCGCGAAACGCACAGAGTGCAATCATATCTTCCTCAACTTCGTGCCAACGGTCATCATGGACCCGGTGAGAATAGAGGAAAGCGTAACAAGCATGGTGCTTAGGTACGGTCCAAGATTATGGAAGTTACGCGTGCGTCACGCCGAGATCAAAATGACCATTCGTCCAGCGCCAGGAAAATCCACGTCTACCTTACGTTTGTGCATCGCCAACGATAGCGGCTACAGTATAGACTTACATCTCTACACAGAAGCAACTGATCCAAAGACTGGCGTTGTTCGTTTCGAATCTTTTCCTTCCGCGACGAACAAATCCTGGAGACCAGGACCTATGCACGGTTTACCGATCTCCACGCCGTATTTAACCAAAGATTACCTTCAAGCAAAGCGGTTCCAAGCGCAGAGTGCTGGCACGACCTACGTATACGATTTACCGGACATGTTCAGACAACAGACGGAGAAGCTATGGCATAAGTACATAGAGGAAAGACCAGATAGCGACATAACTATTCCAAATCCTGTCATGGACTGCGTGGAATTGGTACTGGAGGGTGAACATTTGGTGGAACAGAAGCGTCTACCCGGCGAAAATAACGTTGGTATGGTTGCTTGGAGGCTGAGGCTTTACACGCCAGAGTATCCGGAATCTGGAAGAGATGTTATATTGATCGCCAACGATTTAACTCATCTAATCGGTTCCTTCGGCCCGAAAGAAGATTTGGTGTTTTGCAGAGCCTCGGAAAGAGCCAGACAGCTTGGTATTCCTAGAATATATTTCTCTGCAAATTCAGGGGCTCGTATTGGATTAGCTGAAGAAGTGAAGGGACTGTTTAGAATCGCTTGGGAAGACGATAATGAACCGGAAAAAGGTTTCAAATATATCTACCTGACGCCAGATGATTACGCGCGTCTAGCACCGTTTAATTCGGTAAAGACTTCGTTGATCGAAGATCGCGGAGAATCTCGTTATAAAATTACAGATATTGTTGGTAAAGATGATGGTCTTGGTGTAGAGAATTTGAAATACGCCGGAATGATCGCCGGGGAAACATCTAGAGCCTACGAAGAGATCGTCACCATTTCCATTGTTTCTTGTAGAGCAATTGGTATTGGAGCTTACCTGTTACGTCTTGGACAGAGAGTTATACAGATAGAAAATTCACACATTATTTTAACTGGTTACAAAGCATTAAACACTGTATTAGGTCGTGAAGTATATGCGAGCAACAATCAATTAGGTGGTATTCAAATTATGCATAACAATGGAGTATCACACACGACTGATCCAAGAGACTTGGATGGCGTTGGGACAGCTTTACGATGGTTAAGCTTTGTCCCTAAATATAAAGGTGCACCTCTTCCAATATTACCATCACCACTTCCTGATCCAGTCGACAGAGAAATCAGTTATGTTCCTACTAAGACAGCCTATGATCCAAGATGGATGTTGGAAGGTAAATATTCACAGAATGGTACGAACAGTTGGGAAAGTGGATTCTTTGATCGTGGTTCTTGGCAGGTATGCTAAGTTTTATATTGATATTATTCTTATTTATCCATAATAAACAAATTTAATTTAAGTATTTTAATATCTTTAATATTATTTCCAGGAAATAATGAGACCCTGGGCTCAAACTGTAGTAACTGGACGCGCTAGGCTAGGTGGAATTCCTTGTGGTGTTATTGCGGTTGAAACTAGAACTGTTGAATTGCATTTACCCGCAGATCCTGCCAATATGGATTCAGAAGCTAAAACAATATCTCAAGCAGGACAGGTGTGGTTCCCTGACAGTGCGTACAAAACTGCTCAAGCTATTAAAGATTTTGGAAAGGAAGAACTGCCACTTTTTATTTTTGCTAATTGGAGAGGATTTTCTGGTGGAATGAAGGGTACGTATTTATTGTTATCAATTTATTTGATATTTATTTTATCCCTTTCTCTATTTCACTGTCAAGAAATATCTTTTTCACAGATATGTACGAGCAAATTGTGAAATTCGGTGCTTACATCGTCGATGGATTAAGAGAATATAGTAAACCAATATTCGTGTATATCCCACCAAACGGAGAATTAAGAGGTGGTGCTTGGGCAGTAGTTGACCCAACAATAAACCCTCGTTACATGGAAATGTTTGCCGACAATACAAGTAGAGGCGGAGTTCTGGAAGCTAGTGGCATAGTAGAAATTAAGTTTAGGTCTAAAGATATAATTAAAGCTATGCACAGGACCGACAGCATTATCCAAAAACTCAAAGTACGTAATCTTTAACTATTGTCGTTGTATTAATGATAACTATAATAACATATTATTTTTTAGGAAAAATTATCCGCTGCAAATTCACCGGAAGAAAGGATAGAAATTGAAAGTCAAATACGCAAAAGAGAAGTGAATTTAGAACCCATGTATCATCAAGTCGCTATCCACTTTGCTGATCTCCACGATACACCAGAAAGAATGTTTGAGAAGAACGCAATTCATGACATTATTCCATGGCGAAGAGCGCGTAGATTACTTTATTGGCGTCTTAGAAGAAGACTTTTAGAAGATGAAATAAGAGAAGAAATTCTGTCCACCCAGCGAAGCTTGGACGTCAGACAAATCGGTGCAACGTTGCGTAGATGGTTTATAGAAGACAAAGGCGCCACCGAGTCCTATCTGTGGGATCAAGACGAGGCTGCGGCAGTCTGGTTGGAACAACAACGTCAGGACGAAAACAGTGTCGTTTCACGTAACATTACCTGTGTGAAACAGGACGCGGTTGTTTCACGAATCAAAGAAGCACTGGAAGCCTGCCCGGAAATGAGATTAAACGCAATTTTAGAAATTGCCCATAGGCTACAACCAGCAGAGCGAACAGAACTGCAAAGAACTTTGTCGCAAATCGAAACGACCACTCAGGAACACCATAATGATTCGAGTGCTTCATCCTAATATTTCTTCAAATTACAAAGTCCCTTCGTCTATCTGCGTACCTGGTGTATGTAGCTCTGTTAGAATTAATTGTACAGACACTCGTTATTCTTGTTAATAGCTAATTGTACGGGAGTAGTCTAATTTTGAAACGGTTAATCATTGCGTCTATCGATAGTGTGGCTTGACGATAGAAAGCAAAGAACTTGTGTCTTATCAAAGTTCAACGGTGATGCTATCGGGTGTCAGACAGTATCACTGCCGTCTCCTAAACCGTGGCAACGTGTGCCCCTTGTTTATGATAAGTGTATTCATGAATATAGAAATTATATTATATATATATATATATATTTATTTTTAGAAAAAAAGGTTTGTTCGTTGAGTTTAATTCTACCGAACAACTATTATACATGTACAGTACCAAGTATATTTCTCTAAGAAAAATGGCGATATAGGGAAAACAGGGAAATCTATTGTGCTTGGTACTGTACGTCATTGTCCCAACTTTTAGTCGATAATAGAATCGATGGGGGTAAGTTTTAAAGTATTAAGTATACTATTTTTTCACTCGAGATGTCAAGAATATCAAAACTGATCCTTAGAAATTACAGTTCGATAAGAATAACGGAATAATATATAGTTTTGTGAATTTGTTTTAACGGAAATTTAATATAAAGGCATTTAATATGAAACAGTTACTATACGATCTTTATATATACATATATATTTTATACTATTTTTAATTCGTTAATATCCAGATCAAATGTATATTATATACGATCATATAGTCATAAAAACATAAAAAATGAAAGAATGGTATATATACCCTTTTTATTCGTATAAGCACCCTTAAAAGACTGGTATTTGACTTCGATGTACATCGACTAGATCATCGTCCAAAGTAAGCAATACCATAAATGAAAAGAACATCGCAAAAGCAGACAAAAAATGCCATATGTCATGACTATCAAAAAAGTTTAGGAGTTCGCAGGATCGATTATAAAGCCGGGATTGAGCTGGAGTCAACGCCCATGAGATAGTTCTGTGTACAAAAAAATATAAAGCTGCAGCCCAAAACAAGATGGATAGAATAATAAACATTTTTGGTTGGAGAAGGATCCGTTCTTTGTTACAAATCTGAAATGTTACAAAATAGATTAATCCATGATATGCACATAATTTATAGATACTCATACATTTGTACATACCTTCATTATAATATAGAAAGTAGTATATAAAATTAAATTAGACATTAATATGGCTAACAAGAAGGTTGCGAAATTTTTATCATGGCGTATATTTCCAAATACCGCAAGAGCAAGGTTACATAAATTTGCTACAACAAGCATTATAAATCGTGCTGGATACAGGGGTCGAAACAAATTTCTAGCTCCGGAACGGGCATCATGTTTACAGGTCTGAAAATATATGAAATAAGTGGCATGCTGTGGTGAAATTAATATAATTGGCGAATATTTAAAAGAAAAATATGATAGGATTATTGAATCCTAATATATTTATTGTTCAATGTTTTTAAACCAGAAAATTATTTTATATGTTTGAAAGTTTGGGTAGTAAGTATACTAAAATTCAATAATCTTATTATATAAAATAAAACAATTGATATGAAATTATCGAATACACTATGGAAAAAATTAAATCAAACATACGAAATTACCTGTATTAATCTTATTAGTAAACCTTTGCACCTCCATCGGCCCATGAAATATATTTGGATGGTTAAGAACAGACAAACTGATAAATGCACAATGGTAAATAGAATCCAGAAATATATGGAACCATTCAAAACTCCTATAAGACCTATAAGAATGATTAATGCCAAGACACCAAATGTAACTGGTGCCCGAGCATTTATATCCGGATGACGAGTCTGATAAATCTTGATCATGCAAAGCACCGCTATCATATACATGAAACTGGTATCTGTGGATAATATGATTATGAGAATTAATAATACGAAAAACATTACATACAACGTTAATGTAAAATAATTTTCATCTCACCAAATTGAAAATTGCTTCGATTTGGACATATGTGGTAACTTCCCGAGAGTATTCCTTCCATAATAAGTGCAGTGCCCATTGCATAAAAGAATCCATAATGTTGTGGTATACCATAACATTTGTTTTTTTCTCGATCATATTCGTTGTGTTCTCGAGAGTATGTTATGAATATAAATAATAAACCTAACATGATATACCCGAAATTTGAAAATACATGATTGAAATCTGAGACTAATCCCAATGGATGAGCGCACAAAAAATTATAGTAACACATATCCTGATTGCCCGTAACATGAAGCACGTGCTGATACGTTATTACCAATTGAACAACTGGTAATGCATAGAAGATAGCCACTGTTATTAAATAATATAGATATAATCGAGATTTATGTCTAAGAATTTTCGGTTCTTTTCGAGCCAAGTCACAAACTGAAAGTACAAGTTTCGTTCGTATTACTTCCTTATCACAAAGAGAATCTTCCATTAAATCAATATCATCTTCATCTAAAGATGAGTCTTCTTCTATTGTCACTGATTGACGTGGACCAGTCTAAAATACAATTGAAATGATTGCACAGTTACTATGTAAGAACTACTCTTTTTCTACCTTCATACAATATTTTACCTCTTCTATTGTCGATGGACTTGGTATTGGTTCATCAATATTATCAGATTCTTGATGTAATAACTCTTGTTTGATTTTTTTACCTTCTTTAATTTTGAATACCACTATACTTACGACATAAATAAAGCAAAATATAAAAATAATAGATATGGCTGTAGTTGAAGCTATAATGTAATCTTGTTTAGTAATACTGGATATTATCGTTAATGTCACGTTCTTATTCCGCGCAGGAATCATATTAGGTACTCCATAACAATCAGTATCATCACCTTTTACTACAAGTACAACAAAAAATCCCAATGGATATGCTTCTTTCTGAAACAAATTAACAGTTCTGAATAAGTTTGATAGAGATAATTATTTTTAATCTTGATTCATTATATACCTTTAAAATAACTATTCATTTAAAAAAATACTTACTGGCACTGTAATACCACCTTGTCGACTTACAGTTTGCCAATAACCAGCAAATTCAATGTTCCTTTCTAAATCAAACACAGGACACTGAAAAACAAATATATTTATGATTCGATATTATTATATTCATTTAAAAATTACAGTGAACTGTATTTACCGATGTATTTTGTATTGAAACTGTCATACATATATCACTATCAGATTCGATATGAACAATCACAGAAGAACTTTCTACTTGTCCTGGAAAGACATACCCATAATAAATGGGCTGAGATGGAGAAATCTCTACTAACCTTTTATCACCAGGACTGTTCGCAAACAAAGATAAAATTTATTTGTACCAGGTTCATTGCATCAATTCATTTTTAATATCCAATAATATACATACCTTAAATAAAAATCTAACAATTCTGTCATATTAAGCTTAAATAATATATTTTGGTGGCTACCAGTAGATAAACTAACACTAATAAATTCATCTAGATTTTCTGAGTCGCTTCGATAAAATTTAGTTGAACACAAAGTTCTAGCAGTTTTGTTGTATGCTTTATTGCTAAAATAAATACTATTTACTACAAGTGGAATCTGCCATGAGAGAATTCCTTTCTGTTGACGTACTACCACAATAATAGGGAAATCAGTTGTAGCATTGCTTTCAACCTCTAATCTAGCAGTTTCTAACATAGTCACCTGAAAATGATAAAATATACACAGTACATAAGAAATTTGAAAAATTAAAACAAAATTAATCTAGAAAAGAAAAATCAGTAAGACTTACATTGTTAGTAGGGTATAAAAAAACATATTCAACAGTACTATTTATGGTAAAATTATATTCCCTTTTATAATCAGCATCAATAACGATGGGAGAATATGTCAAAAATTGTGCAGAAATAACTATATTAATATAAAGTGATAGTAACACGCTAATCACTGCTAGATTTTTCTGCATGTTTAATATTTTAAATATTCATATCTATTTATAAATCTTATAAAATATCAATATACATTTATGAAATTCAAAACATTTTCCAGATATTCATTTCTTTAACAACAAAACTCAACTGTAAAAATTAATACTTCTTTCCATTATATTAGATGCAATAATAATATTATAAATATTACAAATTTGATCAGTTAAACTTGTTCACTTCATGATGGATTAAAAAAATAATTCACCGGGAATAACCGGCCTTATGAAACACAATTGTTTACTTTATGATAAATTATTGCATACTGAAGGATTAAGATTAATATATAAAAATAATATCTTATTTTGGTCTGAACATATAAGTAACAACTGCCACTTTGACTATATATTGTATTTTACTAATTCAATAACAATTTACAATACGTATTTTATTCTGCAGATTTCATCGCGTGATGTCAATCTACGATTTATTTTACACTTCGTGACCATATACATGGAGAACAAAAATATATGAACAGAACAAATACATAGCTCTAAGAATATAAAGATGAAGTATATCCTTGAAAATTTTAAACATCCAAATTCGGTTGAAGTGTTTTTAAATTTTATTTGTATATAAACTAAATTTACACTCTGGCCATATATTTCCAGATCCAGGAAAAGCATATGAAAAAGATAATAATAATGTAAGAAAGTATGCTAAATAAAAAGTCACTAGGTATACATGTTCCACATCAGGAATGTTATAAGAATGCACATGTGTTACTTTGGTTACGAAGCGTATTCAAGGTAATCATAGTTCACATGCGTAGAATCAACGAAAGTGATCTGCTGTACTGCGACGAAGGGAGTATTTCTATTATGTATATAAAAAAATATAAATTTCAAATGACATGGTCAGAAATCCGAGAGAGCAAACGCAATTTGTTGTTTTGCTAGACGAGCACCAACAGGTATTTCCCCGTATTCATTAGTTTCAATGCAAATCCACCCTAACTTTGTGAACGAAAATTATTTCTATTCATAAAATATACAGTTTTCAGGTTTTATTGTCACTGATAGAGTATTCCGTAATCATAATGTCATTCAAATAACAACATTACAATCTGCTTAAGAGATTAAAACCAATAATTAAAAATATTGCATTTTACAAATCAATGGTAAACCAATGCAGCCAAATTAGTCACTCTATCGAATAGTGGACGACATACACTGTGACCAATTACTTGACCAGTGTAAACATGCCTCAAATTTCTTTTTCAACACGTTGGAGAATATCTTAATTCGTTTTCATGTTTTAGTTTTAGTCATTGTTGTTAAAGATGGCGACAACCGTAGTACCGAAGGACGTTAACACATATTTAAGCCAAAATCAAAATGTTGCTGACAAACAATTGGCTACTGAATGGGCGCAGCTCGAAGAACTATATAATAAAAGGTATATTTTATAAATTACTTGAAGACGTAAGAATTTTATGATCAGAAATCTCCATTCACGGTTCCATGACTTGCAGGCTTTGGCATCAGTTGACACTTAAATTAGAAACATTTGTGAAAAATCCAGCTCTTCAAAAGGGAGATAATTTGATACAGTTATATGTAAATTTTTTATCTACCTTCGAAAACAAGTAAGTACAATATATATATTTTTCAAAACTTTTTCATAACCTCACTTCTGTGAAGTAATATAAGAATTTTATAAAAATTTATAATTTAATAACATGTATCTGTTTTGGTGTACAGGATAAACCCATTATCTTTGGTAGAAATACTGGCATATGTAATACAACAATTCCAAGACAAACAAGAAGCAATCAAATTTTTAGAAAAAACTGAGGCTAAGGTTAAAAGCAACAATGAAGCTGTTGCTTTGTGCAAGGTTCTTACTGGTCAAATTTTACTTGAGAAGTTAAATAATCAAGAACAAGCAAAAAAGATTATAGAAGAAGTTGAAGCTATGTTAGATAATGCTGATGGTGTTACTACAGTTCATGGTAGATTTTATTTATTAGCCAGTCGTCTATATCGTCTTCAAGGAAAACATGCTGAATACTACCGCACTGCTTTAAGGTATTTTCATGACTACAAATTATAATTCATTTATTTAGCACTATAATTAATTTATTATTTAAATTTAACTTTATGTTTTAGATATTTAGGTTGTATTGATCTAAATAGTTTAAGTAGACAGGAACAAGAGCAGCATGCATTTTTCCTTGGATTAGCTGCTCTTTTAGGTGAAGGAGTATATAATCTTGGGGAATTATTAGCTCATCCAGTTTTACAATCCTTGAAAGGTACACCAAATTCTTGGTTAGTTGATTTATTACAAGCTTTCAATGCTGGTGATATTGCCGCATTAGAAAAATTAAAACCACAATGGAGCAAAGTTGCAGATTTAGCTGCCCAAGAATTAAAATTAAGGCAAAAGATTTCTCTATTATGCCTTATGGAAATGACCTTCAAACGACAAGCTAACAATAGGTTTGTGTTGTTATAAAGTTGTAAGACATGAAATGAAAAACAATAATTGGTTTAAGTTATGATGTTTAATATTATTTGAAATCTGCATTGAGTATTTCTATTTCATTGTAGACAATTAACATTCGCGGAAATTTCTCAAGAAACTCGTTTACCGCTTGGCGAAGTAGAATTATTAGTAATGAAAGCTCTAGCACAAGGGTTGGTCCGTGGTGCTATTGATCAGGTGGCCGGAACGGTAAACATGACATGGGTACAACCTCGTGTATTAGATCGCACTCAAATAGCTGGAATGGTTCAACGACTCGATGGATGGTGCAAAGATGTTAGTTCAATGGAACGTCTGCTGGAATCTCGAGCATCCGAGATCCTTACTCTTTAATATTAGATTTTCTAATTTTTCATTGATTCATTTGTAAGTTATATTTCTATATTCTTATTAACTCATTGTCTTACTATCATTTAAAAAATAAAAAATGTACTTTGTACTTTGTTGCAATTAATAAAATGAATATCATTATAAGTCAATGGGTTAATATAACAGAGAGTATGAAATACATTTTTTTAAACACAGAATTACAATATGTATTATGTGCCAGCGAATGTAAAAAAAATTATAAATATCTTTTAAATTCAGTATCCTTGAACAAAAGCAATTTAACACGGTTTTAGTATTTCCATCCAATAATCACTTAAATTTCTTATGTTCAAAAACTTTGTACTTTACTCGAAATATTAATAATAAGAAGAACATGTATTAATATTGCGTTCTATTTATTTACTTATATACACTTTGCATCAATAGTTTTAGGTATCATTTTTAGATTACGAATTACAGTTATCATTTAGATTACGAACTATGCGCGTTTGCACATGCGCGTTGCCCTTAGTCACAAAGCGTGCTTCAATCAAAGCTGAGATGCGCAAAATGAATACAAGTTCATTGAAAGATGTTTACGTTTTTCTAACCTACAAATTTTCGATAAACACCAAATAATCTATTACGCATGGAAAGTTAATATACAGTTTTTTAAATATTTATTTAAAAAGTTTCAAAATGATGGATAATACCCCAATTTTAAAACGACCTAAGCCGACTGATAGCGAAGAAGAATTATTTCGAATGCAAGAAGAATTTTTGAAGAATAAACAACAACCTTCTGCGAAAGTAATTAATTTACGAGGAACAAAATTTTTAGGTTCTAATTCTACTGAAATAGCTAAAAATCAGATTTCTACTGGTAAAGTAAGATCAAAATTTTCTGAACTAAAGAGACTTAAGACACAAGATAGAGTTTCCACTTCACAAATTGGTGGTGATGTTATAAATCCTGTAATTAAAGATGAAACTGAAAAAAGGTTGAAAGATGGACCACAGGAATATGTTCAAAATGTTCCAATATCACCATGCAATATAATATTAGGAAATATTATTGAAAAAAAATATGATACAAACAAATATGAATTTGACAAACAACAACCTTTTCATTTAGACTCAGGTTTTCCTGAAGTTTTTAGTTCTTCACACATGGTATGAAATATATTAAAATCCAATATGTAATAGCTATTGTAATTTAGACTATTGTATGTAATATCATTGTAAATATGTTTCAGATGAGTAATGATAATCAAAGCTTATTTTGGCAACAAATTTCTTCTAAAGAACATATTACTAATAAAATAGAAAAACCTGAATTCTCAGAATCTGTAAATAATGTTGATAACAGTGTTGTTATAGATGGATCATGGGCACTTGAGATACATAAAGAAAATTTAGAACGATTAAATCAAATGAGTCGAGAAGAAATATTGAAAGAGAAAAGTAAACTTGAAATGACTCTTAAACCAGAGTTAATACAATTTTTAAAAGATAGAAGAAATAAAAAACAAAAAATGAATAAAAATCAACAAGAGCATGAAAATTTACATGTCCCTATGGAAGATGAAAATACAACATCTACAAATGAAAGGAAAATAATTTCAGAAGCTTCTGATAAAGTTAATGATGATTCATTCAAAAATGAAGGTATTATGCCAATGCAAGTAGATAAACCAGAACAAAGTATACCTAAACCTTCTATGGAATTGATGGTACAAGCTAAAGAAAAAGGTTGGGTGCATATGGACTCTTTGGAACCTGAAAAATTGAAATGGATGGAAGATTTATCTATGGAGAAAAAGGATGATCCTGCTCCAGATGAACCATATAATGCTCGTTTTGACTTTAATGGTAAATAAATTTATTATTAGAAAACAAGAATATTAGCACGTTTTTAATTACATATTTTTAATAATTTTTTTAAAAGGTTTATTGTTAGCATACAAGGATGAAAGTGTGTCAGTTGTAAAAGGTCTTCATCATCATGGAGAAGAACCTGATCGTCCAGGTTATTCTCTACAAGAATTATTACAACTAAGTCGATCATCTGCACAACAACAGCGTTGCACAGCTCTTACAACAATAGCAAATATTATAGAAAAAAGTCATAAAGGGTGGTATGACAAAGTATTACAACCAGCTCCACTGACTACACTGAGTCAAAGAAATCTTCTACTATTACTAAGATTTTCCTTGGATGATACTTCAACAGCTGTAGTTACAGCAACTTTACAAGCACTTAGATCTTTCTTATATAGTGAAGCAGATGAAGTCTGTTTGGATAGATTATATGGTTTCCAAAACTATAAAGAACCTATATTGTCAGTCCCAAAAACTGATGTTACTGATATAAGTAATTTAAAAGATCACGAGCTGGCACAATTAGATGCGATTGCTGCTTTGTTGAGAACAGATATACTTTTAAGGATTAGGTATATCTAATGATTTTACTATTACAGTTGAATAAATTTGTAAATTTATAGTTCTGTTGATACATTAATTAAAATTTGTTGCAGATATATTTTAAGTGAATTACGGCCACCACCTGTTGGAGTAACGTGTGCGTTAGAGATATTAGTTAGACTTGTAAGACATTCACATATTACTGCATTAAATATTACAAATACCCCATATTTATTAGAAACCATAATTGAACACTTTATACCATTATCTGCAGATGCATTAGGTTTGTTTTAATGCACTTTTTACATAGTGAACTGTTTGGTGTCTTAATGTAATAAATATTTTAATAATAAAATATATTTTTTACATCTGTAGTAATGGTAGATACCATAAATAATGTTTATGGAGTACCTTTAGTTGCTGCAGTCAGATTCTGTCGGATCCTACTTTGCTATGGAGGAAAATCTGTTGCACGGAAATTAAATAATTTAAAAATTGTACAACGTATTATATCATATATCAGTTGTGATGCGGGGTAATTTTTATAATACAATTGTACATAATACAGTATGTTCTGTTTAATATATCATATTATATCATTTTTACATTTTTGTATCCAGAAAAGGAAGTTTCAATCTAAGCATTGAAAGTTTGCGATTATGGAAAACATTACTACTTAATGAAGAAGCAGAGGATAGTCTGACTGGAGCACAGTTAATTCTTATATCACAGTTACAACTTTTATTGGCTCATCACGACCTTCAAAATGCATCTGAGTTATCTTGTGAATACGCAGCAGCTTTAATAGCTGTTGCAAGTTGTCTGACACCTTTAAAAGTTAATATATCAGTCTTACTGACTAAATGGAGCACTCAGTTGTTATCCTTAAATAACATAACGGTATCATAAACTCAAATTTATTGTATCATAAATTATATAAATGTCATAGAATATATTGCATATAAGAATTATTATTTTACAGTGGGGTACTACAAAACTCATTGCAGAAACGTTACTGGCAGTTAGCGATAATACAGCGACTAAAACATTGATTGTATCTCGGTCAGAGGTATTCTCTAAACTTTGGTAAGTATTTTGTTGAAATTTTTACTGAAGAAAATAGGAAACAATTATATAATTTCATTTCATTATTCACAGCTCAACTTCAAATTTATTAAGTGATTGCTCTCCAGCTACTGAACGTGTGCCTTCTTCCTTACCTTATTTGGGTGTTTTGACTCATGATGGACAATTACAACCTATAGTATCTCAACAATCTTGTTTACCTTTTCTAGCAACTGTTTTGAATGTATTTGTTAATCATTCTTTTGAAGACGAAATTTTGAGAATTCTTAATCTACCACAATTACATAAATACTTAAAGAAATTAGATACAACAGTTTGGTGTTTAGAAAACTCTTGGTATACCAGGTCAGAATTATTATTTTTAGTTGGTATAGTAAATGCAACTTCTCTCGTTAAAAATAGATTGGATAATAATACGAGTCATACCATATGGAAAATCGCTGTTAAACTTGTATCATCTTTACCTGCCGATTTTTCATCTGATACAAAAAGTATGCTCCGAGCTGTATTATCTGAACAGAAATTAAATTTAGAAATAGCAACGAGCGAATTTGAAAAGTTACAATTAAATTCAAACATCGAAAATATGAAAGTAAATTTATTCCATAATGTAGCTAGTTTATATGAACAATATGTTGCATCAAATGGCGAATGGAATCAAGCAGCAATGCCTAAAGACTGGCTTTACTTACCCATAGTGCACGTTTACACAAAATGTAGAAATAGTGATACATGTGACGATAACGATAAAACTTCGATCTTAACTGTATTAAGTTTAGAATTAGTATTACCTGATTTGGTTGAAAAATTATCACAAAGCTTACGATTTAGCAGATTGGTACTAGCATATTTGTGTGACACGTTGTATTTAAACAACGATGTTTCTATTTTACTTACTAGAGCTGTTTCAACTTTATTGAAAGATAATTATAAGAAACTTAACTTTTCAGTAGATTTACCAGGACTTCATTCGTTTACTGATTTATTTACTGCCATGTGCGAACATTTTTGTTCAACTTCATATGGTGATTATGGCTTCTCAATGGTTTTGTTAGTACCGATTGCGCAAAGGCATGATGTCCATTACAGAAAACTGTTATGGTCAGAACACGCAGGTTTGCTTCGATATCTCAGATTACCTGTGGAAAAATTAGGTATTCCGCTAAAGGAATATTTCTATCCCCTCGAAGAAGATACGTCTTTAATAGAAAGTTACTTAACAGCGCTTGTTAGGGGAATAGTTAAACAAGCTTGGTGTCCTATTCCTTATGCAATAGCTGTACACCACTCTGCAATGTATTTAAAACAGTCGAACAAGATGGCAGTACGAATGAGAACACAGCTGGAAAAAATACCTAACAAGGGTCTAGCTGCTCTGTTATTAAATTATAATCCGCCTACGTTATAAAGTAATTCATAAAACCTTCAGATTTTGATAAAAGAGTAAAATTAATGATAGTTTTATAACTTGAAATGTATTACAACAGAACATTAACAGAAATCTATATTCTGTAATTACAATATGAATTTTATTTTCACATGTCTCTTTATCCAATAAGTTCTTTAACTTAAAGTATCAAATAAGTTGAGGATTAAATAATTTATTTCAGTCAGTAGTAAAACGTACATGTATTAATTAGGCAAAAAACTAATCGCGTGAGAAAAGAATAGGAACAATCTCTGTTTACATAACACATACAGGCACTGTTTGGTCCTGTTCACTGGTTGCAAAAATTTATAATAAATTAGTGCTGTAATTAGGAAAATACAATAATTGAAATGTTATGGTAAACGCTTCATAATACATGTTACATATGTATGCACATACATGTAGATTGTATATAATTTATAAATTGAATGTGTACATATTATTATTAATTTAGAAAAAGCATGTCTTATTCGACGTTTTTTTATTACAAATATTCGGTTTACTGATATATAATATTGATAAAAAGTTAAATTGTACTATCACTATTATGTTAATACTATAGAAATTATGAATATCTATGTAATTAGAATAATATTCATATAAGCGATGAAATTATTTAAATAATAAATAACAATGGATAACAATTATTATAACAAATCGTATACACGAATACAATTTTTATACTTAATAATTCTAATTAATTTAAGAGAAGTTTGTATTAAATTTTTTAGGATAAATAATCTATTTTCATATTTTTATTTGTTTGTAAGGATAGCTAGATATTAACATAAATATGTTGGATTGTTTTTGTCAAATAAATAAATGATAAAATGTGGCAGTAATCACTGCATCAATAGTTTTAATAATTTAGCGTGTTACGTATAGCACGCCATTTTACCATTTTATGTAAGTTTCGTGTCCAAGCACATTAAAGTGCGCAAAATCGTTATGACAAATCATAGGTAGAAAAAGAAAAGCTTGCTATTCTTACAAATCTGGAACCGAGCTTTTTTACAAAAAAGATTACAGTAACGTTAGTATGCAGTAATTATTTTCTTTTTTTTGTACAACATTATACTTTCAAATTAATATTCAAGTGTTTCTTCCATTACTTATTATTTAGTTTGTATGGTTTTGTCATTAATAAGCAAAATGCGTTATTGGTCAATATACGAAATGTTTTCTTCCTAAAATGTGAGATCTGTGATATTCTAGATAATAATTATTATTCGTTTCCCAGTCAACTATATTCAATTCGCACAACTCGGCTAATTTGAATTTCGCACCATTCGGCTTCAACCAATCAGAGCTGACATGCGCAGAATGAACAAAAATACGTGATTTATTGAACATAGTTTTCCCTGCAACAAATAATAGATGCTGTTTTATGAAACTTTACATCTGTCATCTTTAAATTCATTTAAACACAACAGGTGGTAAGCTATCGTGTAATATTTCAATTTTATATTATTATGATATCGATATATTTATATCTATTACGTACTGAGTAAATATTTTCATAGTTGATTCCTTAACGCATATAACTTTGTTGAGAAACAAAGTTTAGCAGTATCATACGTTGTCCTAAAATATCATTTTCATGTATAGCGTAGTCATTGCGGCAAATCTATATTCTATAACAATTTACAACAATACACTGTCGATATATGTATATATATACATATTTCACAATATAGAAAAATAGGAGGATGAAATCGTGTTTTAACTGCGTTCATAAAACGGGTCCACCGTTTGATAATTACATGTCTAGTCGTTAAGGGATCAAAAGATATCGCTAGAATATTTTCGTACGGTTCAATTGTTATCTGATATTTTGTTACATGACTAATATTATAAAAAGAATAATCGATCTAGCAAAAGTAGTCGAAAACGATCATTTTATTTCACGTGCAAAGAACTTTGACGTCTTTAAAGTACCGTCGAAAAATACGGTACAGTTATGTGAATGTACCGTTTGAATTTCAGCCAGAAGCCCGCTATGAGCAATGCTCTCTTCCTATTGGTCGACAAGCGATTTCGATTTCAATCGATAACAATGTTTGGTTCCTTCTGTCAGCCAATCACAATTGATGTAACATATTTACCATACTCGAGTAAGCACAAGAATATTAGCAAATTTCATTACGTGATGGCTTTCATGACGTTAACACCTACCGATTGCTAAGATTCTATACCTAACTTCCTGTATGTTTCCCGGTCTACGGTAACTAATCTACCTTCTACACTCGAACAGTCTAATTCGATGCAATGCAGTCTGGCGCCCCATTCGCAATGGCTTTGATCATCCTGGCGGTAATATTTGATTTGCAGACAAGTAGTCAAGAAACCGGAACCGAGTACACGCATAGTGATAGGTAATTCTTCTCGGTGTCCGCGAGCACTTGCGGGTATACCCTTCGTGCTGTGATAAGCGCTGTAAGCACAGGCAGTTCCATCCCTCGCTCGCTCTTCTGCCTCTACTTGTTTGCCTCCTATGCTGAGGGATCTGCAAAATCAACGATCATCTTTTATAATTTTTTTAATGATTTAATAATTTCAGCGATCTCCATAAGGATTAATAGTACGACAGTACTGCTAGTATACATGTTAGTATAAATGAGAACCATATAGCGAGACTATACTGTATTAAACCATGAAAGTGGCATGTTGTAAAGACTTTTAACAATGATATAGTAATGAGGAGAAGGACTTGATAAACATTAGTGGCAATAATACTAATGAAAGAAAAATGGTGAAATTCCTTATTGATTACGTTTTATAATTAGCTGTAACTATTTCAGTTTGTCTTAACGGTTTCGGTTTTATTTCAGTTTACAAAACGAAACAAGGTCACCCCGTTTTTTTGCACAATGGCGGTCATTACGGATATAAAGGATAATAAAATGGAAGGGTAGGAGTTAAAATTGAAATTCGGCAATTTGCAAGGCATCCTAATATCGCGACTATTTTGTAAACGGTTGCGGTTCTCCAATACGTGCCTGGTAGTACACAATAGCGGCCGGAAACGAGGTTCAGAATCTCGAACACTGGCCTACCGAAGATGCAAATGAATTTGAAGCACGATTCTGTAACATCGACTCGATGACACGAGTCCTGCTATCGATTTACGATCGAATCCGACTTGCTTCGATGCGCGGCTACAATTGAAACTAAAGAGCGATTCAATTAACCTTTCCATAGACCTCTACATTTTTTATTTGTCAATGCAGAATATATTTTTAGGTCTGCTGCTACTATTTTTATCATTGGAGATGTGGAGACTGGAAAATCCATGATTTTAGGAATTTGAAAATTTAGAAATTTAGAAGTTCGGAAATTTGACAATTGTTGTGTTACAAAAAGGTAAAAATGTTACTAAAATGTTGGAAAACATTCTTTTACACGTGACGTTTATAGGAACTTTCCTTGTAGATTGGAATCCAATTACTTGTAAATGCACGATTCGAAGAAACGGCTTTCGTCGAACAGTTATAAAGGACACGCATAGAGATGTATTTTTATCGACTAGTAAATTTACGTCATTACGAGAAACAACGGTAAGACGTTCTATAAATAGATTAATTCAAGATACTGACCATTAAATATTAATGTATTCTGCATAGTAGTAGTATTTTTAGTGTGTTAACTGCGAGCGAAATAAGTGCATGCCAATGAACCATACGCGTATCAATGTCGAGCATCATTCACGTGTTTGAAATGAGTTCTCGTGACGCAGTAGGCATGTATAATTATTTGCTAAATTACAGTCAAGTCAAGCCGCAGATTTTACGTCGTTACCCCGAGTTAAAATCATTTCAAATGTGCTTCTTTTTTTGCTGGCTTTGGCACGATACTTCAAATGGAAAGGTCTAATTAGCTCATATATTCGGGCATTTGAAAATTTCGAAATTTAAATACGTGAAAATACCTGGATTTAAAAATTTTGATGTTTCCAATTTTCAGAATTAAAAAATTTCTATATTAGAAAATTTTAAAAACGTTAAGATATTAAAAACGATTTATCTTTATCATTCTTAAATTTAAGAAGAGTTATATTTACTAGTAAAAAATGTACCTATTTTTCTAATTAGAATATGATGTGTAGTTAGCAATTTAAGAAATGACTAGAATACATAGCACGATATTACTCAGCAAATGAAATTGTAACGATAACTTTTCCATTTCCATCATGCAGATACAAATTATAAAACAACACAGATAGACGCTTGATCGGATTAAATTACTTATACAGCAGGACAATCGATAAATTTCAAGCAGTACAGGAATTTGCATCTCGAATTAATGGGATTGTAAAAGGGTTTCGACATTTGTTTTCAAAAAGATAGACACTCTTCTCTTTTTCTTACTTTTATTTCAAAATACAAAAAATCTTGTACAATTTGATGATACAAAAGTATCAAGCTCGAGGAAAATGATTGAAGTCTTTCATCAATTTTTAAATTTAAAAATTGGCGAATTTCCATAAGTCTCAATTTGTAATTTTTAAATTCTCAAATTCACATAATTGTCACAAAATGTAAAAAATAGTTCATACCAATTGCACCGATTAAGACACCCTATATACTCTTCTGGAGCCGTGCTATAAAATAAGCAATAAAAGTAGAACATTTAAGACGATGCACCGCATGTCGATCAATCGTAATCGTGAAATCGTTTGATAGGAATAGCTGACGCTGATAGCAGTAACCTGAAGAGAGAGATTCGAGGACGAATTGCGAATAGTATTGGAAGGTGTCTATACCCACGATCAATAGGTTGTATCGTGAAAAATCCTGGCTCATAAGTATTGTAACATCATATCTCAGGTATGCTTTCTTTTGTTTAAGGTTTGATCTTTTCTATTAATCTCTCGCGAGCTTCTCTGAAAATAGAGTGGGTCGAAGGTTCTCCAATTAATGAAAAACCAATCGATTAAACTCTGATACAATATTCATTCGTCGAATCTTGTGCAAATTACAATTAATGTTTCGAGACAATTCAGTCCTTCTATATTGTTTCCATGTATTATATTTTTCCGAGTTATTCAATTTTCCAAATTTTTATTAATATTGTTGGCCTTAAAAGACTTGATTAGTCATAAAGATAGCATTTCAATATCTACTTCAGCACAACATTATAAATAACCGCAACTTTATTCTTCCATAAAACTTACATTAGTAAATATTTCGAACGAGATCGCTCAAAGGACATTTAGAATCAAGGTGAATTACGAGCGCCTTCGAGTTTCAAAAGAACGGCACGTAAGAAAGCATACAACGATACCTATCTGATAGTCAAGCAACGGTTAAAAATTTGCTGTTTCCTTACGTACGTGCAGAGTGTATATTATGAAGTAAAGAGGGACGTTATTTCTAGTCGATTTCAAACGACGAAACCACTTTGCGATCGTCTTGGCCGATTCATCGAGTGCACTTGTAATTTGCTAACTAATTCAAAGTTTCGCGTGCAAGCAAAATTTCTTTGATGAAATCAAACAGATTCTAGTGTGCTCTCCGCCTTATAACGACCATACATTTTGTAAAAAAAATTCATGGTTTGGATGATACCATAAACGTAGGGACTAAGAAGAGACACTTCAAAATGAGTCCCTCTCCCAAATGAATCAATTAATTTATTAGGAATTCCTTGTTTATAATAGTAAATGAAGAACTCGTTGAAAGTAATATGATATAATTTACGTTAAAACCAGCAAGGAGCAAATGTTACATGTACGCGACATCGAGTGTGGTAGATATACGTGTGTATACGAGCAAGTTAATTTCAGTTTATTCGTATTTTCAATGAATCGCGCGTATAATTAAAATCGAGTGAATTAGCCACATAAATCCCTTCTGGCGAGTGGAACTTCCAATTAGTAAATTTAATGTTTTATCGAGAGAGCAAGAGACGGGTAGGGAAACGGTCTTCTCCCTTTAAAAGCAATCTGTCCGTGAAACAAAAAGCCATTCGCGATCTTGTAGTTCCGGTACGTTTCACTTCTTTTTTTTGTTCTTCTTTGCACGGAATAAAGGAGACGAGACGGTGGGCATTGAAACGCGCGAGATCAAAGCTAGACCTTTGAAAAATGCTCGCAAACAGCCTCGTTTAGACGCACGGAAAGGAACATTTGACAGACAAACCTGGTCTTTCTTTTTGTCGTTAAAATGAGCAGAAAGAAAGTTTCGATGTAACCCAGCGAACGCAGGGTAAATCGAACCTCTTGTTAAGTAAGCCGACAGTCACTCTTTATTTTACGGGGATACTCTAACGAACGCTTGAATACTGCTGACGGTCTGTCTCGACGAAGTCAAGCATCCTTCGATGAAAATATTTGCATACCTACACAATTTTTCGAGCGTGTTAAATAAATCCGATATTTTGCCATAATTCTAGGATTATTTTCGTAAGTGGAAAATGTAACAAAAGTACTGTTATTTTAACGTAAAATACATTTGTGTAGCTACAATTTGTTGTCAAGATTACGTCCAATGGCTCGGGATGCTATTCGAAAGGAAAGGAATCCTTAATTGCAATTGTTTACAATGTTTTCGAGATAAACTTTCCTTCGTTCTATAGTACGTTCTTTTCATTCGTTCGGACTCCTCCACGGTTAAATGTAACGTAACATTTTGCCTCATTCTTTGCATCAATTGGCTGTGGGGTCGATTAGTTGCTATAGACCTCGTAGAAGTACGTTGTTGTTCTAGATTCTAGATCCACAGGTCTATAATACTTTCGAAAGTGGAATATTTTTTTATTCCATGACCCCGTTGACTGTTCCACGATGCTGTGTCTCTACACTCGCTTTGCAGGTAGATCTTTTTATGCAACTTCATGAATGCATTCACTACTTTTATTTAGTTTGATTTCTTCATCAATACGATATTTTTAACCAGAGTACTTATATTCAGTTTCATTAAAAGAAGCGATATCTTCCTTTCAATCTTACCTATCCATGAATTAAATTAAACTTGGAAGTTTCAAATTTCTAAATTTTTAACTTTGGAAAGTAACGAAGTTTCCAATTATTGAATATTTCAAAGTTAAAACTTTGTAAGTTTACAATCTACTGTAATGTCACTATACACCATTCATAGTAGACGAACCGTAATGAAAGTTGTTCAGAAAACGATATACGAAATTAAAGCGCAGAACATTGAATTTTTTCAAAATTTCAATTTAATGTTCTACATGGAAAAGATTTATCTGTCTTATTGCTCGCGACTTGCATTCACCAGAAGCGGAACAGTTCGTTCGGAAAAATAAAAGAGCCGGTTTTGAATACGTTCATCCATCCTTTTTTCAATGTTCTTCCTTCTCGTGTGTCACATACATGTGCATTTTGCTCGATATGACTAGAATCGATTCGAAAATGTCGATTGTTAAAGTGCAGTGGTAAAACGAACTGTTAGAGAACACAGACACTGTGTCATCTTTGATTACACGTTTTTCGGAATGATTAAAGGTAATTATCAGTACTCGAATTACTGGCTGGCTTAACAAGGT